TGCTAAGCTAAGCTAACTGGCACTACATTTACAGCACACTCATTATCGTGGTTTCAGTCCTCACTGCTAACTTTTGGTGAGAAATGTCAAACTTCAGATATAAAATGTCGAACAAGCTCTGAGTGTGTGTGTGTGTGTGTGTGTTTGTGTGTGTGAGGTGTCTGTGCAGTCACCGTTGTGTCTGCGAGCCACACAGCCTTGAAATCCAAATATGAAATGCAGAGTGAAACGAATACCAACCACACGGATCTTCTTCTCCCTCCTCTCCCTCAGCCGAGTGAAAAATTCATGTTCTATTACCCCATCAAATATGAATTGCAGTTTATAAGATCACATTTGAAATTCCAGGTCACAGCTCATGCATTCCCAAATACTTTTTACGCTAACAACGTGTCGGTTCATTTCTGCAGCTGACGGATACAGGAAGGCTGCAAATGTGCCGTTTTAATGTGGAAAAACAAGTTAAGATGGACTGCAACAAAAGCGGCGATGACTGTTTTAAATGGTGAAATAATGAAGCCGAGCTGCTGCGTATGGAGATGTATTCAAATGTGTGCATCTTCTACTTCTGCACTGCATGAGTTATGAGTTTGCCTGATCACTTGTCATGGGCAGGCATAAGGGAATGAGGCATGTGTCATATCTTGTTTAAGCAGCCTGATTCAGTGTGTTTTGGTGGATGGTTCACAGCTACCCCCCCGGCTGTTAACTGACGGGGGACGTTTGCCTCCAGATACCATGACAACGGCTGGCATCTGCGCTTAGCGCCGCGGCAAATGGAGGTCATCTGAAGAGACAGCAACCCTTACCTCCTCTCCATCAGCGCCACCAACGCTACCGCTTCTGCTGCCATGGCTACGACAGCCAGCAGACAGCCCTCGGCGTGCGGTTCACCTCTCAGCGGTCATCCGTTCCTACATACATTTGCTCATGCGGAGGAATTCAGGTGCCGAGAGACTCCAGGAGAACACATCTTTTTCATGTCCGGGTCCTCGGGGCTTTGCATACCCGAACACCTCCAGCTTAATGTAGAGATCCACCAAACACAAAAACACAAGATGCTTCTGCGATGGGAGAGTTCAGCGCTTCCCTCGTGGCAAAGAGTTCGCAGTATGAGCTGATCAAAAACACATTTATTATTCATCAAAAAGTACAGGATCCATAGCTCTGATATCTGAGCTGTAACAAGATCTTTAAAAAGGGTTGGTTCCTTTTCCAGGTTTCCTGAAAAATTCACAGAAGTGAAGACGTGTTTTGGGGATTTATCTGTTTCAATCCTGTGTGAAGTTTTACATCCTTGCATCGATTTTCTTAGTAGAGATGTTAAATCAACTAAATAGAGATTAGACGTTCACCTTGCTTGTGTCGTCAATATTGTAGGCCTGCACCTCAGCCACGCAGTAATAGATGATGTCTTCATGAGAACAAACACAAGTCAGCAAAGCAATATCTATGATTGTTGTATTTCCAGATTCAGATCTCACGAGGTTCCCTTCTTGTTTGTGTGCAAGAAACCATGGCAACTCAATCCAGAGATCGATGGTCCGTGTATTATCCGTCCATTCAATTATTCCATTCAATCTAGTAAACAAAAAACAAAAAAACGAGTCAATATTTTGTTTATTTGTTTTTCTGTATAACCAAAAAATTAAAAATTAGTGTTTGTTTTCATATTTTCAGCTTAAAACAGAATATATAATAGAGATGGAAACGAAAACAAAATAAATCTTATTTACAATTATTGATTTTGAGTGCGCCTGTTTTGAGCATACGTGCCTTGAGGCTACATTGGCCTTCCCATGATCCTCAGCAACAGTTACCATGGGGAAAGATGGGACAGAGCAGTTCGAGCGCCAAATACTTTTTCTACAGTCATATCTTCCTCCTTCAGCGTGACCCTCCTGGCGGCTTTGAATAATACGTAGGATGCGTCCATCTCCATGTTAGTAGGTTAGCCTTTCTCTACCGCTCTGGCCTGGAGTTTTTGGTCCACGTTCCTGGCTAATGCACATGTGCGAACAGTAGAAAGGCACTGTGGGAAAGAGGGACATCAATAACCCGAAAACAAAAAGTAGATTTATTATTTTGTTTCCTGTTTTGAACTGAAAATATGAAAACAAACACTCATCTTTTATTTTTTGGTTGTATGGAAAAACAAATAAACAAAATATTGACTAGTTTTTTCGTTTTTCGTTTACTAGATTGAATGGAATAATTGAATAGACAGACAATACACAGACCATCAATCAAATCAATCAATCAAACTTTATTTTTAAAGCATTTTTCCTACATGGAATTTAGCACCAAGTGTTGTCCATTCCAACCCCCATTCAACACATACAGCACTGACACACTCACACAGAGTAGACCAGGTGAGGACTCTTCAACTTGCCACAGATGACTGAGGAAACGCTATCTTGAGTTAAAAAAAAAAGAGGAAACACTGGATCTAGGACTAAAACGATAAAACCATGCTAAAATATAATAAAAGTTAATGAAATAAAACAGTCTTAAAATTAAACAATAAAAGAAAGTAAATCAAAAAAGAGGCAATAAAACACAAAATATTTACTCTAGGACTAAGCGTAAAATCACATAACGCAGATTAAAAGATTGAAACAAAATTCAACTAAAAGCCAGACTAAAAAGGTAGGTCTTTTGTTTACTTTTAAAAATATGAACAGTAGGTGTCGCTCTTAGGTCTGCAGGTAAACTGTTCTACAGATGGGGACCGAAGTGATTTATTTGATTGATTTAATGGCGGTGATACCAGGAACACCTGCAGAAGAGGCGAATCACAGGGATACATGTTGCATGACTTGTAGTAACATTTTGGTGGAGATGTGCGTTGGGCCGGGAACATAAGGGGGCTACGCGGACTCGTGGCGTCTGCTACAGAAGCGTAAACCAGGTTTAGGCTGCCAACAACGACCACAGGGGGCGCCAAAGTCAACACATCACATAAGCCATAACATTAAACCCATGAACGCGTCATCCACTTTCCATTAATAGCAGTCTGGAGCAAGTTTTTGTATCATCCATTCATCCTGAACCATCTTGCATTCATATTTTGTATTGACAGTACACAAGGCCTCACGGAGCCCTTACATAAATAATCTCCTCTTCTCATGCCAATGGCGCCTGAGTCAGCCTCGGTATGTCATAGCGTGTCTGTGTCTGGTGCTAGGGGCAGAAAACGCCTCTGATTGGAGGACTGTGATGAAAAAAAAAAGAAAGAAAGACTAACACAGTGTGGTTTCCTGCAGTCAGAGAGGACAGGTACAGAGCAGGATGACCCAGGAGTGACTAACAGCACAGAGAAAATTGTTCAGCTGTTAGATATCAGGCATGTTCAGGGAGTACTCTGCCAGAAAGGGATTTGGAGGTATCAGCTGAGTTTGGTCATCGGTCGCTGTTTTTTTTCTCGATTCTTCCTTTTTTTCCCTCCAATTTAAGCCTTACTGAAATTGTATCTGCATTTTTATTTTTGATTATCAGGGCAATTAGAAGAACCCAGGCCTTTGTACGTGACACAGAACTGTAAATGTGTTCCAGTATTTGTTCTTTAAAAGGCCTCATAATAAAAAGTGTCGGTAAAAGTGCGGCCTGTCTGAAAATCAGCCCTACGCAAGTGACTTTAAATTTTTTATAATGAAGAACTTGATGAAAATTGTATACCAGTGGTTACCAGAAGGGAAAAGAAACAGCAGGGGATGATCAAACACAAGGAGACATCAATCAAATTGAAGAAAACAGACACAAAGCAACCACAAACCACAGCAAAGTTCAGGCTTTAGCAGTGTTACTGGACTGGTTGAATGTGGGGAGAGTGCCAGCAGAGTCATGGAGGAAGAGGACCGTATCATAGTGTTTTTATTTTCTACATGTATGTAGAAAAAGGCTAAAAAAAAGAAGAACAAAATGATAAAATGTCCAGAATTAACCACAGATGACGAGATCTGTGGCAGGAAAGTAGAACTGAAAAATGAAAATTATTGTCAGTTTGACCCATAAGTGGCCTGGTAAGAATTAGTGCTGTTGCAATTTATATAGTATTGACAATATTTTAGAAAACTAAACTGTAATATCATGTGGAAAAAAAAAAAAAACAAGTTCATCACTTCAGCCACGAAGGGGAAATGAAGAAGAAGCAGCAGTTGCTTGTATGCTAGTTGTATCTGTCCTCCAAGACGTATTTTGAATCCAAAACTAACTCTAGTTATGAGTCAACATGAAGTATTTCTGACTTTTCTTTTTGAATGTTTTCATTCAGTTCCCTAACGTAGAGGTCCCCAACCCAACCGTGGATCAATTAGTACTGGGCCGCAAAAAAAACCAAAAAAAAAAAAGATAATTAAATATATTTTTTTCTTTTCATCCATCCTCCTTGTATCTTATTTTGAAAGACCACCACTTCCGCCATCGCCTCACTTGCGCGCTTGACTCTTCGGCACATCATTTTCCTGCATCAGTAACACAAGCTAGCTCTTGCAAAAATGAGCCAGAAACAGAGTTCACTGGAGAGAGAAAGGGTTGATTCTGCATTATGGTGAGTTGATGTTAATGTTTAATAAAAAGTGCCTTACATAAAATGTAATTGTTGTATCCAGATTACATACTATGTACTGATTAAGGTTTCTGTTATTGGAACCTCCACGCTACTACCCGGTCCTTGGAAAAAGTTTCCTGCATGAAACTGGTCCCTGGTACAAAAAAGGTCGGGGACCCCTGCTCTAACCTCTGACCAACCAGAAGAAGTGTACTCAAAATAAAGAAAGTTTTACAGTGTGAGAAATTAATAAAAAAAGTTTTATTTTCAAGTTGTCCGATAATATCATAATAATATTGCTATAATGTTACTGTATGGTGAATATCTGATATCACGGCAGCGCTAGTAAGAATCATTCCCATGCCAGAGTTACCAACTGTTGAAACTAAAGGACTGTTTTTGGCTGTGTAAATAAATCACATTTTTCTTTATTTTTTCACTTTTATTTGTCTTATAATCAAGCAAGTGTACCAGGTTACACAGAGGGGGGAAAAAAAAAAAACAGAATAATAATAATAGAAAAAGGGAAACATCAGAGCGCTGCTGCAAAGCTGAATAATTGATCTAATCTTTCTTTAAAACCCGTTCTTTGATATTGAATTCAGCTAATGACAGTGAGGACAGTCCAAGAGGAATCGACAGTGACAGTGGAGCCAAATGGCAGAGAGCGGAGACCATGAATAACAAACTGAATCAAATATTACATCCATTCAAAAGGTGATAACACCAGCAACGACAGTGCGATCAATCCACATTTCGGCCTGATCTATTGTGTAAGAGCTCAGACAAAAGACCGCAAAGGAAGAAAGAGGTCGATCCATCCTCCACCGATAAACCAATCTTTCTCTCACTGTCATTCTGTCCGCAAATGTTTCCTCCTCCTCCGTCTTCCTCCAGATCACTCCAAGTCCATTTTCCCCCTGCAACTTCAGTACATTACAGATAGCATTTCAGGGTTATTTGTGGCGCTTTTTTATGTGCTACCAACACAGTGCAGAGATCGCCTTCTCAATTTCTTTCCTCGTGACAGATTTCATCCTCTCTGTATCCATCTTTCTTACCAGCTCGGGCCACATTGCTTCTGAAATAGGAAGAAAAGGTCACAGCGTTAATGCACAAAGTGACAGGAGATACATCACCCAAATCTATGGTGACTTTTGGCAATATGTCGTGCACTTGGACACTCCATTTTCATTGGATGAAAACAGGAGCGATGGGAGAAGCTCAGGAAGTGGAAATAAATTATGTCTTGAAAGGTTTTGTTTTCTATCGGTAATGAATTTTAATTTTAGTCGTAAAGAGAAAATGGGTGTCATTCTTTTTCATAGAGACCAATTAAAGTGAAACTAAAGACTTAATATGCCATAAAATTATTTTTTACCGTGCGTATTTAGAGGATGGATTGCAATCAATGATGGTCCTAATGGAAACTTAAAGACTTCGCTCCAGAACTTTAAAGACTTTTGCATTTCGAAAACCTGTGCGATGATTTTATTCACGTTGGTGTGAACACAGACCTTAAAAACTCCAGTGAAACTCTTTGCTGTCACATCTTTTCACTCTATTGGGAAGTGTTTGCATAAAAGGGTTAGAAAAGTGTTCAAGTATTCAAACAGGCAAGTTTTTGACTATGAACAGGAGTTTCTTGAGACCTCTTTCGATCCAGCTTCCATTTCTGTCGATTTATCCTCTTTTCTTCAGCATGATCAGCCTTGATATATTCCCAATGAAACTCCTTGCATCACTTTTTGCTGTACACTACCAAAACACAAGCTTTGGACTAATTGTAAACTGAAATAATAACTATGAAATACCTCCAAAACTGGTAGGCATCTGTAGGTAGCTCCCTTCATTACCTCTTCACCTAGCGAAATGCACGGACAGGCTGACGGCATACTGCCTCAGGCCCCGTTTTAAACGTACTCGGTTAATTTTAAAAACAGAGACATTAACCATCATTTGCACCCTTTGTTTAGATGCAAATGGAGAATTTGCCCCTGAAAACGATGCTTTTTAAAAACTCCAGCCAGAGTGGAGATTTTGGAAAACTCTGTTTGCATGTAAACAGAGAAAAAAAAAAGAAGGAAATCTGAGATTGTGCGCAGAAAAGAAGGAAGGGATGTTGTTGTTTCTGCTGCTATGCGGGATTCTGATTGGCTAACGTGAGCTTGAGCTTCTCGCTGCACTGCAACCCACATGTTTGATGTGCTATTGATGGCATATATACACGGGTTAGTGTAAACAAAAACTGTCCGTTTATGAAAATAGGCGGGCACGTGTAAACGTAGTCTCAACAGGGTTCTCCATATATCAGTTCTTTGTCGCCAATCTAGTGTCTGACTGATATCCAACACCAGCACTAAGTCAATTCATTCCTACCTGGAATAAAGAGGCAATATCAAAAATATTAACTATGATAGGACTTCTTCACAGTTAGCAGATATCATCTTTGGGTTGGTTTCATACTATCCTAAATCATTTTACAATGAATGAAAGCATCATGGTCTGAATTGTTGGCTTGCTTTCAGCCGTTGTGACTGACAGGAGCCAAGAAAAATAAACCGTTGGAAAAACGACAGAGCCAGGAAGTGTAAGGAAGACACTTTTGGCTCACCCTGTTCCCATATGTGCACATTGACTCGAGACACTTTTTCAAAACGTTTTAGCGTGAGGCCTGATAGAGCCTCTCTGCTGCAGCTTTTGCAAACTGTGATTGATGGCAGCTCTTGTTGTTTACTGTGCCATGTTGTTGTCACTGACAGTAAATGAGCCTGAGAAGCGAATCTGACTGTTGTACGAAGAAAAAGTGACTGCTGAAGTACGGCCGAGCTTGGACGTGAATATTGGCATCATTGAAAACAGAAGGGTGACGAAATTTCTCTGAACAGGGATTCATAAGGAGGAAAGTAAACATTTTAAAGCAGCATTCATGATATAAAACCATCAATAACAGTATAAATATGTTCATGAAACAAGGATAAACATGTAAACATAAACCAGAAGTCCCTCTTAAAGGGATATTCTGGCGTAAAATTAGGTAAGGGTCAAACACACTGAGTTAGACATCCCCTTGAGAGATGAATGTTGCCGACCGCTTGCTTCTCTAGTTATACCAACTTTAGAAACGACCGCACGATAGCAATACACAGCGGTTTGAGGAGCCATAAACAAACCTCAACCTACGACCCTCAGTTTTAACCACTTTCAATAACAACTTAGCAACCAAATAGCTGGTGGAAATTGAGTAAAATTAAGAAACAGAATGAATTTAGTTCATTTATAGTCCGTTTTTTTACAGTTTTTTTGGTCAATGTAAAGTTTTAAAAAGGAGAAACCACATCACTGTCAGTTACGTTTTAGTCCAATAATGATTTCATGGTCCAAAAATGGACGAGAGCAGAGTTTTGAGTTACTGTATCATTTCCATCACCATTAGTGTGGATTATTCCTGTTGTTTGCCGCCTGTTGGAGCCGTTAAAATGAGGCTTTTCCACACCCTCTGTCTCTTGCTATCACTCTTTGTCCTTGTGGGTGATTAAAATGCACCCTGCTTGTCCGTCTGCCTGCTCATTAATCACGCCGCAAGAGCGCAGGCCTAACACTAAATATACAGTTTGTCCTCATCTCAGCATTCCCAACAAAGTGCTATTACAGCAGAAAACCACACCGAGTCAGAAGTGACTCATAAGCCGGGCTACGGGTTTGCTTATGCTTGTAATAGTTGATGCATCAATACTTAACGCACAAAACCACTTCCCACTGTTTTATGTAAAATCTCCTCTAATTAAAAAACAGGACGAGGAGTAACATCAGCGTAAAAGTCTGATTTAAAACCTAAATTTAAACAGAATAAATCAAACAAACTTCCCTGTTTGTTCTCCGCCTTAGAGGAAAAGTGTCTCCAGGTGCTCTCAGTCTTCGTCTTTGCCTAAAGCCGCTGAATCTCACAGTGACAGACAGAAAATCTCCTGGTGGTGTAAATAAGAATCAACAGGATTTAAGCAGATGTTGAAGACACACAAGAAGGCCCACTCTCAGCAACCCTCTCGAATTGATGTGATTTCCAAAAGAAACAAGCGTCAGCGGGTGTTAAATTAGAGGAAGTTTCTGCACTATCACTTCATCTCATAATACATTAGAAGCACATTTAGAAAGCCTTACAATGCAACCTATATAAAAATAGCGAGTCAATATTTTTTTTATTTGTTTTTCTATATAACCAAAAAATTGAATATTAGTGTTTGTTTTTCAGTTCAAAACAGAATACATAATAGAGATGGAAACGAAAACAAAATAATAAATCTACTTTTCGTTTTCGGGTTATTGATGTCCCCATTTCCCATGGTGCCTTTCGACTGTTCGCACACACCTATTGCGCAACAAAGTAGTCAACAACGTGGACCGAAAACTCCAGGCCAGAGCGGTAGAGAAAGGCTAACCTGTTGTCATGGAGATGGACGCAGGAGGGTCACGCTGAAGGAGGAAGATATGACTGTAGAAAAAATTACAACCAGAGCTCTGTTACAATGTAAGATTTTGGCTGTGTCCTAAATGGATCTGTAACCCCTACATAGGCGACTATATGGGGGTTAGCGCCATTTTGAGGGGTGTCCGAAACCTAAGTTATCAATTCTAACGCCCTATATAGGCGACTCAAAATTTCCCGTAAAGCACTGCAAAATGCAGTGACCGTCCGATGGTCCGTCATGCATATCGTATCCAGCGGCAACGTCACAGCTGTAGTCTCCGAAACCTCTGGGGATTGAGCTCACGCCATAGTCAGCTATATAGTGAAATCTCATATGGGGGTTAGGGGTTGAGTGATTCATTTCAGACACAGCCTTTGGCGCTCGAACTGCTCTGTCGCATCTTTCGCCATGGTAGCTGTCGCAGAGGATCATGGGAAGGCCAATGTAGCCTCTATGCGCGTATGCTTAAAACAGGCACATTCAAAATCAGTAATTGTAAATAGGATTTATTATTTCGATTTCATTTCTTTCTCTATCATATATTCTGTTTTGAGCTGAAAATACAAAAACAAACACTAATTTTTTTATTTTTTGGTTATACAGAAAAACAAATAAACAAAATATTGATTCATTTTTTCTTTTTCTTTTACAAGATTGAATGGAATAATTGAATAGACGGATAATACACGAACCCACCGTCTGCACTGATTTAGAATACTTCTCGGGTTGAGATTTTGCTGTGTGATCAAACTTAAATTACGGGCTAGTTTCAGCGAAAAAGGTTATACCCTTGAAATATGTCTCATATGTGATTTTCTTCGATTTAATAAACAGTAAAAAATATTATTCCTTTTTCCCACTGACTGGTAAATTGAGTTTGGCATGCCAGATAAGTGCAGAGCTCCTCTGGGGCCCACAATTCCCAGATATCCCAGTGGAAATGAGTCTCACTGACGTGTAATTTCCCGGGGGACAAAAATAAATCTTAAAGACAGAACTGTTATCCAATTAAGGCTCGCACCTGCAGTCTGTTTTTCAGGAGTTAACTGTTATTACACGGACATATTTTATCATATTCAGGTTTGTCAAAGAGCAGATGTTTGATGTTAAAAATGCGGAACAGCTCTCGTTTACTCACTTGGCTCTTAGGTCCCGAGACAGAAAACAACATGTGGAAAAAAAGGTGTTTTGATTCCATTAGGGGAGCTGCTGCTTTACCTCATTATGTTTGTGTGTGAATCAGGCTGCAATAATGGAACATGAGCTGAGGTTGTGGGTGAGTGAATGCCCTTAGGTTTGTCTTTTAATGCACAATAATAAGACAAAAGCGAACATTAAACAGATCCTTATCGCAGTATCTTTGTTCCTCCATCATAGCCTTTAAGTCATCCTGTTTTCTTTCTCTTATGATTCAGTACGTTTACAGCTTTTTTCCCCCCTCCAGGAGTCCTGATCTGACTTGTAATCCACAAAGTTAACTACTTAAGGCATGTTGCAAATTTATCAGAAGTTTGAAAGTGTGTTTGTGGTCTGCTGAACTGATGAACACTCTCTTGTGAATCACAAACATCCTCGTCCGTCTTTGAAACTGTCGAAAATTGTTGGTGCCACAGAGGCTGCAGGGGTGAGCGCTGTCGGCCCTCATTAATGGAGATGTTGGGTTTTTTTTTTTCAAACTTGGGAAACAAAATGTCCTCATTTGCATGTACTGACACCTGCGGCTGTAAAAAAAAATACTTTTTTTGCGCTCAGGAGTTAACTTTGGCCAGACTCCAAACAAGTTTCTCAACATTCAGAATTAGGAAGTAGAAGCATCAACATGTTTGAGGTTTCTTCAAAATAAGAGAATCTTTATTTCTCTGCTCAGACTGATTTCAGCGTTTAGTTTGGTGAGTTAGAGGGCCGCCAGGTATGAAATTATTCTGAGATGAAGGACAGATGAGAGGAAAGAAGAAAGAGAGAGAAAGAAAGGAAGGAATTGGAGAAAAGGAAAGAAAAGAAGGGAGGGAGGGAGTAGAGAAAGAAGAATGGAAAGAAAGGGATGAAGGAAGGAAGGTAGGGCAGGAAAGAGGGAAGAAAGTGAGCAAGGGAGAAAGAAAAGGATGGAAGGAAGGAAGAGAGAAAGAAAGGAAGGAATAAGAGGAAAGAAAGGAAGGAAGGAAGGGAGGAAGTAGAGAAAGAAGAATAAAAAGAAAGGGAGGGAGGAAGGAAGGGCAGGAAGGAAGAAAGTAACAAAGGGAGGAAGGAAGGAAGAGAGTAAGGGAGAAAGGAACAGGGGAAGAAAAGGCAGGGAGAGAAGTAAGTAAGAAAGGAGAGGGAGGAGAAAAAGAAAAGACAGAGAAGGAAGAAAAACAGAAAGGTGAAAGACAGAAGGAAAGAAAGAAGGAAGGAACAACAGGATGAAGGAAGTAAAGAAAGGAGTTAGAAAGG